ATCCCGGCTCTGCCCCTGACTCCGCCTACTTTTCTCCGGAGTTTTTCTTTCTCAATTTTTTCCGACAATTTTTTCCGTCTCTTTTCCCAAGCTTTTCTCACTATTTTTTATATATTTTTCAGCTTCAAAAAATCCCGAAAATGGGCGGAATTTTTTCATCAACAAATAGTACAGCACAAATCTCAGGAATTTTACAGGAACTCGAGAGAACAAGAGTAAAAATAGAGATTTTCATAATCTAAAAACTGATTTTTTTTCAGATGGAACGGGAAATCGCGCTAGCCCAATTGCAAGAACGTCGTCGAATTGCTTTCAAGCTCGCCGAAGAACGCGAAAAATTCAACTGGATTGCGTGTGGAGGCGGATTAGTCGTCGTTTTGTCCGCCCTCTCTTCCTTCCATCATAAGTATGACTTTATTTGAAAGCATAGATTTTTAAATGTTTTTTTTTTCAGAAACCTCCTCCACGTCATCCCAATCTTCCCAATGGCGTCGTTCATCGGCTACAAAGCACACTTTTGTTACGGAGATCAGCTGAAAAAGATTTCCGAGTCTTCTGCTCATATTCTTGAAGAATCTGTGGATTCGCTGGTTCCACTTCCACCAACGCTGGCTGATGTTCGACATCGGAGCAAGCAATTGAAAGAGGAAGAGAGTCTGGCGAATTTTTAATTATTTTTTAAAAACATTTTTTGAAAATTTAGGTTGTAGTTTGATTGTTTTCCTTGTTAAATTTATTGATTTTTCCAATTTTTTCAGCTGTAATAAACGGGTATTTTTCTTCTCTAAAATTGCTTTTCAGGTTTTCACCATTTTTATCTTTTTTTTTCTTAGAATTTTAGCTAGAAAATTTCGATGAAAATCCCTATTTTTCAGATACAAAATGGGACAAAAGCAAGCGAAAGCTGAGCAGATGAATGAGGAGACGCTTCGAAAGTTTTATGATGCACAGGTTTGATTTTTACGGCTCAATGAAGGAAAAATTAGCAACAGACATCAATTTTTGTACTTTAAAAGCCAAAAAATGATGCTAATTTTCGGGTTTCTGAATTTTTAAAAGTAATTTTTGTTCAGTTCGAAAACCAACTCGTCGCCGACAATCTAAAATGGGCGCAGCAGAGAGCAGTAGATGTAAGTCTTCGCACCGAGCCAAACGCGTCGCGTGTCGGCTTAGCGGTCGCCAGCCGACCACCCAAATTTACGAATTTTGAGCTATTTTTTGAGTGTTCTTTTTAGAAAATAAAAAGACGGTTCAGCATACTCGTAAAATTCCGGGCCTGAGGAAAATTTCAAGGCCCGGGCACGGCCCGGAAGGCCCGGTAGCAAAAATTTTGTCATTTCGAACCGAATTTTGAGCTCTCAATACAATTTTTATATTTTTTGTGCTTTTTGGATTGTTTGTCTGTTTGATCAAAAAATATCAAAAAAACTTGAAAACATTTTTTTACGTTTTTTGAAATTTTCAAAACTTGTGGAATGACAGGCCCGCCGGGCCGGGCCTCCAAAATTCGGGAAAAAGCCCGGCCCGGCCCGTTACAAGTATGCGGTTCAGTGTACGCCTAAAATATAAAACAAAAACGGAAAATTCTGGAAAAAATTCCAGTGAAATTTCCACGTTTTCCACTGAAATTTTTTCCAGAATAGTCGGTTTTTCGTTTCATATTTTAGGCTTAAACTGAACCGCCGTTTCATTTTCTATTTCGACACGCGACGCGCCGTGCCCAAACGAAACTTTGGATTTCCCCCCAAAATCCTCAAATTTCCAGTTTCTCCAACGCCGCGATCAATTACAATGGGAAGTTCTGGCCGCAGCCACCACCACCGCTGTGCTCTTGGCCGCGGGATCAATGTATAAACGGAAAGATTTGATCATTCCAATCGTTCCACTGATAATGGGAGTCGGTTATCGATACGACGTGGCACATGGAGACAATCGGCAATTAGTGAGAGAAGACGTGGAGAAAGTGTTGAAGACGCCAGCCGATTTACAAATGCTTCCCCCGATTACGTTGAAGGAAATCGACGAATTTAGGAATTTGCATTTTCAGCGATAAATGATATTTTTTTGTTATGATTGTAATAATTATTTGAATCTTTAGGTGCTGTTAGTTCCGTTCATTGTTTTTTTTTCATTCAAAACATTATTAAAAATCTTTTTTCTGCTTAAAATGTTTTCGGTGAACTTTCTTTTCAGATTTTATATACAGCCAGCGAGAATTCATTGAAAAACCCAGAAAAATCAGAAACTGAGGATATTCATTGAAAAATACTGTTATTGACAATGTTAAACTGTGTTCCACGCTCTTGAAGGCATGGAAAACGTTTATATGCTTGAATCTTCCAAAAAATAAATCGGAGAAAAACGCTCAAAAAATGATGAAATGTCCTTAATGAGGTCGTTGACCTAAGCCCCGCCCACACTGCACGCAAAGTATAGTGGACGGAGGAACCCGGGAGATGTCGGTACAACCAAAACACCTCACTATAAAATGGAAATCGTTTGCGTTGTCTTTCGGCGTACATCAAACAATCTCTTCTGAGTCGGCTGAGATCCTAAGGATGGTTGGCAGGCAGGGGAGCTCCCAGGTTAGTATGCATACTTCCTAGAGACTCAGAAGAGATTGTGTGATGGAAACCCTCGAGATAACCGCGGGTACGTCCCGGGAATTATCTGAGCTTTGAACGGCCTGAACTAGATCCGAAGTATAATTTTGGAAAAATGTTTAATTTTCGTCTTCAGCTTTTTACAGCTTTTCGTCCGTCCGTTTTCCGTCCGTTTTCGTCCGTTTTTCGTCCGTCCGTTTTTCTTTTAACTTGTGTGTGAAGAATCTTCTTGGTGACCTTATCGGTTGGAGGCACGAATTTGTATAAAAATTATTTATTCTCAACGTTTTGGCTTTATGCCATCTTCAGGAGAATAGGACAATTACCTACAAAAATGAGAATAGAAGAAGTGTGAACCGGTGTAGGGATGAGTGAGGTAGAGGTAGAGAAAACCGTAAAAATGAAAGGTAATAAGGAACCATAAAGAACTGGGATGAAAAGACAAAATTTTTTGTTTTTCGTCCGTTTTTCGTCCGTTTTCCGTCTGTTTTCTGTCCGTTCGTCCGTCAGGTTCGACCGTCAGGTTTTTTCGTCAGGTTTGACCGCGTTGCGTCGCCATACGGTCGGACCTAACGGTCGAATCAGACGGTTGAACCTGACGGTCGACCCAGAGGGTTGAACATGATGGACGAACCTGACGACGAACCTGACGAACTACACGGACAAACCACACGAACGAACCTCACAAACGAACCACACGGACGAATCTAACGGACATCTCACACGGACGAACCACACGGACGAACCTCACGGACGAATCTCACAGACGAACCATATAATAATTCCAAGCATTTCTCCCTTTCGTTGTAAGACTGAATAATTATTGGCTTGAAACTAAGAAAACATGAAAAAATTGTGAAAAGGTTCTTCCAAAAAAGTCCCAGTATTAAAAAAAAATTCAATCACATTTTTTTGACATTTTTCCCCAGTACACTTGCAGATGTTTCGTCACTGGTCACCCCAAAAAAATCTCACAAATCAAATTGCTTCTATTCAAGCTTAGACACTAAACGAAACGATCAAACTTCTGTGTAGGCTGCTGAAACTATTTGAGATACTCGAAAATAATATTTTTATTCGAGTTCCTTGGAAAACATCTGATAAATAGCTGAATTACTGGAGATTAATGTCAATAAAAAGTCAGAAAAATTCTAGAAACAACAGAGGCGGAACTCGGTTTTTCAGTGAAGCGAGAAACTGAGTCAACTGGAAAGAAAAAGAAGAAGATGAAACATATTTCCTTATTCCACTAACGAAGTATCTTCATAATCAGTCTCTCTGGCTGACTGCAGGTGTTTAGTATTCTGAAAATAATTATTTATTATTTTTCCTTATTTTATTTTTTGAATTCCCTCCCAAATGGTCGTTATCATCCTCAACTCTTCCAACACCACTTATTGGATCCCCGCTTATTCTCTCAACGACACCGTTTACCATTCCTACCTTTTCTACATCTTTGCCTTTGTTCAAATATCGATTTATATATTTACTGGCTACTTAACCGTTAGAACTTGCTTTATTTTTTTCCGCATTAAAGTGTTCCATGAGAATATGAATATTCTAATGGCCTGGTTTTTGTGCCAATGGTTTGAGGCTATACTGGCCAAATGCGTAGTTACTCCATATCAAATTGGCCTTATTTCAATTGTCATGGACCCGGAAAAAGTGTATTATGATTGGTGGGCGGAGGACAAAGAGGATTTGGTGCCAATTCGAGAAAATGCAAAAATCTTGCCCTTACTGGTCTCCAGCTATTTTATATGGCATTATTTATATTCTATACTGTTCTCTGTATTAGCCATTGGTCTTGAAAGAGTCGCTGCTACGTATTATATTCAGTGAGTTTCGGTCCTACGTGTTATTTTGTAAGCAGGTGGAACCATTTGGGGGGGGGGGGGGGAGTTGTGCTAATATCAGAGCTTGAATTCAAATGTTAGAACAAAGGGGCATGTGGAAAATGAAGTGGGAGGAAAAATAAATGAGGTTATGGAAATCTTTAAATTGTATTTTGGTGTAGTACAGTACCAGGGGTGTGCGGAACGGAATTCCCAAGTCTGAAGATTTTGAAAAAATTCATTTCAGACACTTCAGACCAGGTAATTAGTCCCAAACGTCACTACTGTAAGCGATCTACACTATTGTAAACGACGAACTTTGAGCTCCATTATCTCGGTTCATTCAAAAGATATCAAACATGTGTCCACTGATAAAACGTTTGTCATATCATCAAAAATATTATTTCAGTAATTAACTTTTTGATATCATTCACAGGAACCGAGATAAATTGTCTTAAAGGGGGACTCTGACCAAAAATTTTTATTGCATTAAAATGTGTTAAAAGTTATCTATTTTCCGAATATTATTGCGAAAAAATTTTTAAAAAATCCGAAATCCCCGAAAAACGGCGTTGAAAAGTAAGAAAATTCAAAAAAAGGTGCCGCCGAGGGACGAGGATTTTCAGTGAGAAACCTAGGCCACGGCAGCGGGCGCCTTTCCTACGTGGCAATTTTTCCGGATTTTTTTCAATTTCATGTCCGGCAGGTAA